TATTACGAAGATACCTTAAAGTATGCACGAAGACAGTACAGCGATAGTATCGACTGGCGCGCAGCGGAGGTCGATGCGACAACGTACTGTCTGAGTGCATACTTTGAGGTATCTTCGTAATAACCTTATTATTATACATCTTTTCCTACCAAGGATACATCATGGGAATGCAGAAATCTAAAAAGTTTAGAACAGAATCAGCGAACTTCTTTGTATGGAGTCCGGTTAAATTTAGGTGGCAGCCATGTTTGTTTTTATTATTAGAGGACGCTTACGCACGTAATAATTCCATATTTGGAATTCGCATTTCCTAATATGGTAGGATGAAAATACCCTGTAAAATACCGCAAAATCACGGCACGCTGTAACCTATGGCGTTACGGTGACAGATGTATAATAATATGTAATATGAAATAGATAGCACATTGCATTACATATGACAGTATTTTTCACATACTTCACATCAATAATAGTCAATAATATCAACAAATTGCTAAATATGCTAAAAGATTGACAGATTAAAATAGAAAAATTGTCATAATGATGCACACAATACAAGGTTATTATGATAATGATGCATACAGTGATTATATCAACAGTACAATGTATGTATCAATTGATGATGCAGTAGCATACTGCTTGAGCCTATACATGTGCTTTGCTGTATTTCTCATAATAATCTCATACTTATACCTCTTTTTCTGCTTGCAGTTATAAGTTCATAATTTATTGATTTATAACTGCTCAATTTAATCATCTACATTTAGTAAAATTTTTCTGTCATTCATGACATTGTGGCTCCATCTGATGTAAACAAAGATTAAGTATTTGAATAAGACAAGGAATATGTTGTTCATACATGTTTTATGGATGGCTGAATGTTATTGTTCTTGTTTCCGGACATAACAGTAAGTTACCATCCCATTACTAAACATAGGAAGCATTTCAGAAAATAAAATATGTAATTATCACATACCTTGATCAGATTATGAAACTTGGGTCAGGCAATTTTAAATTCAGACATAAAATAAGTCAGAAGCCTTCACATAACTTATGCACATAATATATCAAATATATGAAAATCTGCAATTGTACATGACTATTATACAGTAATAGACTTGCGTTACAAAATGTTATACTTACCTTCTAATAATAAATATTGCAGCTAATATTCCTGCAATGACTATAAGAACCATAATAACTGAAACAGTAGCACCAACAATAGCATCATTCTGCCTTGGTGTTGGTTCAATTAGTACACCATCTACAAAAATTAATCAAATTCATTACTGTAACTATAATTTAGATGATTCTTTAAATGGTGTCGTGGGATTAAATATTAATACACATATAGTACTTAAATAGCTATATGTATAGTCGTATATAACTGCCAGCAATATATTTCTAAAAAGCCTGTACCTTTAAATGATGTTATTGGTTCATCTGTCAATAATATTTCTTCCACCTGCAAAATAACAAAACATAATGTGACATGGTCATGGACAGCTTCTATTTTATTTATGAAAATAAAGACTACAAATGAAAATAGACCATATTCAATGAGCAAATTAGGTTATTCTGAGTCTGTAAAACTTAGCAACAAGATGGTTCTTTGGTGGCCTTTTATGGCATACAGAGCAAGAAACACAATCACCATTATAGTGTATATGTACACACTGGTAAACTAATATATGTGACTAATATAATGGTTTATCACATGCATGATTCGTGTATCACAAAACTGTGATATAACACAGGGCAGATTGAAATCCCTACAGACTGCAGAATTCGGTTTTCACTTTTTTTTTTTATTTTATTCTGTCCAAAAACTATAGATTGTGGTAGCATTGGTTCATTTTGACAAGGTCATATGTGTTTATTCAGAATTTTTCAGTTCCAACTAAAATCAGTTAAAATAAGAAAAAATCCCAGTAAATTTACGAACGAGCAAAATGGCCACACAGCTTATGCAAGGCATTCATGTGAAATATAGCACCACGGCAAAATCAGCTTACCCCTGTAGTATATACTGCAACCCCATCATATATGGCATATTGTTGTCCAGGTGTTAATGGTTTATTGATATAACCATTATATTCCATATCATCACCCACTATAAGTTGATCAGGGATTTCATTAAGTGGAAACGATGCTGTAATATACATATTCTCTTGTAAATCACGCTTTTTTTTCTGCTTCTGCTCTTCCACAACAACAATATAACTCCTGAATTGAGAAAAAAAATAGTTCTCAAGACAATTAATGCTTTGGAAAATATTCTAATTTCTTTTTGGCTGAATTAGGATTGAAGTCAACACTGAATAAACCTGTAGGGGCATATACGAAAAATTGCAATGAATGCATGCAACTAAATTTATCAAATTAAATATGTGGGTTGTTCATAACATAACATTTTGCGGTTTAAATCATTAAAAATGGTTGGAAGTCAAATAAATTTCATTGAAACTTCAAAACAGAAAAAAAAGCAGGAATTGAACACAATTTCTCAAATATTGACACTATAATGTCATATCAACTACTAATCGGGAGATATCCTTATTCGGTAACCTCTGTTCACTTTGAAACTTACGTAATCATTATTGATATTAACAACAGAACTATTTGGACTCGCAATATTTTACCCATTTGCAAACCAAAGCTAAAAGAGGAGTAGGCAAGCTGACATGATGTTCTAATATTAGTCAATGAAACCAATGTTGCAATATTGTAGCAACCCATATCTGGGACAGTGGTTGTAAGCATGTTGTTTTAGCTTTATAAGAATCCATACTATAACTGGGGCAAGCACGCTGAAGACTAACAATTTTTTTACCATCTTTTATCACAGCTATTGCATTTCTGACATTGAAAATTATTCTTCTGTCAGTTGAGAAATAAAAATTCTTCCTATTTTAAGCCCACCACAATATCCATAGTGAGACATTTCAAGCACCCTTACTTGCTGAATGTGAACTTTCACCATGATTGATGAGTGACAGTCATTGCAAATTATTTTAAAAATAGATTGCTCTCAGGATGACTTGATTTTAGAGAAAATTGTGTACAGCGACATCAATGAACTGTAGAGATTTTGTTCGATGGCGAGAGTGAGACTTGGACTTTGAGGGTTTTGACGTACGAATAAAGATCTGAGTTTTTCAAACAATTATGAACTTTCATAATTTTTGCTATGTAAATTTGTAAATTATTATCTATTATCTTGTATGACTGTTGATTTCCGGTATTTGTCAAAACTGGAAAAATTATATGCAGTTTAACCCCTGACATTTTAGTTTATTTTGGATTCATTTGTATTGGGCGAGTTTGTCGACAGGGAAATTCTAATTCAAATGATTTTCTCACTGTCTATTTTTCTTATTGGCGATCGGCTCCATTAGAATTACCCTTAAAATCACTTTTGTAGGTTTGTGTGTGTTGGCGATATGCTCCGCTAGGATTGCCCTTAAAAATTTTGGCCAACCGTTGCCATAGCAACAGCCAAAAAACTGAATATTGGATAGTTTTGCACCAAATGTATCTCCTCCTACAAATTTAGGATAAAACACGTCATTCTACTCAGTTTGAGTGTGGGCACAAAGTAACTATTTGAATTTTTGATATCTTTTTTCATTACAAAGAAATTTGACCCCAAAGTTCGGAGTAACTGTTCACCAGGAATGGCTTTTTAACTCTTCTGTGATTTTTTTGGCTGAGCCGATTTGGTTCAAACTTGGCAGGCAAGTCACACCTTCACTCCAGTTATTGTAAAATTTGGAAATAAATTTTGGCTCATTGTTTCCATGGCAACAGCCAAAAACTGATTTTTAAATACCTTTGCTCTACAATTCTGAAATTAAAAAGCACTGACATATCTCATTCTATTCACCTTGAAGTGTGGGCAAAATTTACTGTTTATTTTTT